GCTTAAAATAGGTCCTTATTAACCATATATTATTAAAAATGCATTTATAAATAAAATACAGAATGGGGAACGGTTATTTCTGGTTTAGACTAGTGACAAGTAAATTCGACTTAAGTCGCCTCTCCTGGAACCAATTACTGACGTAAGGCGAGGTATAGCTGTATTAATAAGAATTCAATTTTATTTTTGAAGAATTTTTATTGATTTTAAAATTAATAAGAAAAATAATAATTAAATAGTTTTAAAATCAGTATTATGATAATGCATTAATAGACTATGAAAATAATTTAATAATAATAATCAAAAATTAAAAAAAAACAAAAATAAATGAGCTCAACTGCTTTATCAGTATATTATCAAACTAAAAAATACTTTGAACATAGTATTCTATCTTCAGAAGCTAATCAATAAAATTTTTACATTTAAAAGACAATTCTTACACTTCTATGTATTACTATACTTTCTGTATTAAAGAAACTTGGATGTCCTGACCAATCAACGACAGGATTACTGATTCAGAAATTAGTGGTGCCAAGATCATCTTGTGTCATTAGATGTCATGACAAATCATTGATGCTGTTACTATTTAAATTAGATTTAAATGAACATGTGATAAAGATACTACTACTGTTTTTTTGGTATGTGCTACAGTTGAATTTAAATCACATTAATAAATAAGAACCATGTTAAGTGACATTCACATAATATAAATGACACCCAAGAATTTGTGTTTAAAGATGCCCAAGTCAAATTAAATAACAAAAATTTATTATATATACAAAAATACTTATAAATATCACTTTTGGTAGCTATTATTATGTTTTATGTATGTATGTATGTCTCTTTAATCCAACATTAAGTTCGGTAGACTATCATTACGGCTTTCAGGTTAGACACTTCTTTTATTGTTTCCACATATGCATTTCGGACTTATATAAACATTAAGTCCTTCTTGGAAACAAATGGATCGAGAAAACAGGTTTTCCATATTAATGTTGGAAAATGTATTTGTGCTGTTTTTAATGGCTGTATTTTAAAATCTTTACAATGTTACCCGTTATACACCGTGGTTTTAGAAGACAGAAGCATAGTATTGCACTGAAGAGGGACTTAACATTTATATAAGTCTGAAATGCATATGTGGAAACAATAAAAGAAGTGTCTAATCTGAAAGCTGTAATGATAGTCTACCATACTTAATGTTGAACTAAAGAGACATACATACATAGAAAAATACTTACGTATAATAATTTAAGGTATTCAGAAGTACATATATTAGCTGCTGCTTAAAAGGAACAAAATGCCTGTAGAAATGTTTGTGGCGAGGTGTGTGTAAATTTAAAAATTAAACTGATTCCTTTATCAGTTTAATTTTTAAATTTACACATACCTTGCCACAAACAAGGGAGTTGGTGTAAAAACATTTTCCATCAGTTCGGGCAATTGACATTCTAAGAGTTCATTATTGCATTGCATGTGCAAATGTTGTTATTGTCTTGAAACTGCAAAAGATTATTTATAGGCAGTAATTATGGCTTAAAGAAGACATATTAATGACATTATGTTTGGCAGGAGATTAGAGGTTGGTCAAATTCAGACAGGTGTCACAGAAATTCAATATGTAGGCTTTGGTGATGGTACCAATATGTCCAAGATGTTTGAAGGCGATACAGTGAAGGCCATCCATGTATCACAACTGATATATGGCCATAAGTGCCTGATGCCACAAGCAAACTGCTTATAGGCCTTTCAGCATCATCAGATCGTTTTGTCTGTGCAAACGATTTACAGATGACTACAGGACATTGACCTATATGCAAGGTGGCCTGCAGTATACATTCCTTTAACTGCACAGCACATACTGATTTGCAGAACACAATATATTGAGCACCTTGCATGGACTTCATAATAATGTGTCACTGTACTATTTATTGATTACAGTCTAGTTCTGTTAGTCTATAGACTAATACAGGCATGGCCAACATATGGCCTGTCTAATGAATTTATGTGGCCCGCGATTAATCTTTCAATATTACCTACTCAAGTTTGAATAACCCAATGAAAAATGATGCCTTAAAAAAAAGTCAACAACTCAGTGCGTTTAGAGTTAACCCTCCATTACAAATCTCTTAAGTACAGCATGATAATAGAATGTTGGTACAGCATGATAATGTGAAAAATGTATCTGTAATCTCTATGTACAATTTAGTGTCTATGGGGTGACACCACAATGAGATCTTGCATCACCTCAAAATCTTCGTAGGGCAGCCTCTGGTTCAGCCCAGGGGCAAAAACTGTTGGCCACCCCTGGACTAATAGCTAACAAGTATATGTCTGACAGATCTCAGGGACACATTGAAATTCTTCTCACACCATTGAATACCATTGTTCTGGAAGATTCTGGAGGATCCTTTGTATGGAGTGGTATCATGTCAGGGTCTCATATACCATTGCATGTGTTCGAATGTGTATTGTAACAAGCCAGATTTGTAGGGATGTCAACCTGCAGCAGTATATACAGGTATTTAGAGAAGCTTGGGTTCATTTTAATGGACGATAATTGCCCTCATAAGTCTGGCTTGATTCAGGAATACCTGGAAATTGAGAATATAAAGCATCTGGACTGGTCACCCTGTTCACCACACTTAAACCCCATAGAACATATAGGATGCCCTTGGTCGCAGGGTTGCAACATATCCTCCACCACGGAGTACTACAGAGCTCCAAAGAATATTTATGCAAGAGTGAAATTCATTACTTCAGAAACTGTTGGACAACATTATAAACAGTCCGCCAAACTGCTGTGTAGCATGTATTGCCATTCATGGCAACCATACACACAATAAGTTTCATAGGACCATAGTGTGACATCATAGCACAAGTGGTGTCATGCGGAATTCATGACACCACTTATGCTGTCACACTGGGACAGCCCATATCCATTTTATTTTTCCTTTTTTTCCCAATGGGTAAGGTGAAACCAAACTTTTCTTGCTGAACTTTGTCTTCCTATGTCATGTTCACCCTCTTAAAATGTGTTTCTTGCAGCTGAATGGGCCATAATCACCTTATAAAGCAAATTTCTTAAATTATGGATATGTGTGTAATACAGTATTTCATTATATATAATCTCCAAAAATATACGTGTAAATTTTACAGGTATAGAAACTGTCATCAAGTATGCATAGATCAATCGTTTTCAAATTATTAGTTTTATCTTAGATGTACATGAAACATAATACAGTGTGAAACCTTCATTCAAAAACTATGTTTTACATTCATAATTATTTTGCTAAGGAAAGTCATGATATCAGAGATGTCAAGTAATCATTCTGACACCAAAAGCTGTAATAGTGGTGTCAAGAATTTTCATCACATACAGTTTTGGTATTGATGTTAATGTCATTTTTTAATAAAACAATATTTTGGATTTCAATTGCACACTTGGTGGTGCATTACAGATTTATTTCATTACTAATTATTCTAAAAGTTTATTTCATTATAAACAGTTTGAAAGAATTATCACATTATATACACTTTAAAGCAACAGTGAAAGGAATTGTGATCTGTAATGAATGCACTGTCAAGTTGTGCATTTGAAAAACCAAAATATTGTTTTATTAAAAATGACATTGGCGTCGAAACAAAAACTGTATATAATAAAAATTCTTGACATCACCGCTATAGCTTTTTTATGTTGGAATGATTACTTGATGTCCCTGATATCATGATTTTCCATAGCAAAATAATTATTAATGTAAAACATAGTCTTTGAATGAAGGTTTCATACTTTATTGTATTTCATGTATATCTAAGATAAAACGATAATAATTTGAAAACGATTGATCTATGCATTCTTGATGGCAGTTTCTGTACCTGTATCCTTACAGGTATGTTTTTGGAGATATCACTGGTGTTTTCACTTTGTATGTTTTTTAAAGTTACATTAATTCACTTGTTTACAATGTATTTATCTGTAGAAGACCATAAGATGGAAAACATTGCATATGGATTCTCTATAGTTGAGAAATAAATAGAAAGATAAATTTGAAAATAATCCTTTAAATATACAGTCAATCCCCCTATAACACTGTTGATAATTCCATTGTATATGAATTCCATGTTGTACGAGTCACGTAGATTTTACAAATACGTGAGCCATTCACAGCCTGGCACATGTATTTGAAAAATCTAAGTGACTTGTACAACATGGAATTTATATAAAGCAGAATTATCAACAGTGTTATAGGGGTTGACTGTATTTCAAATTATTATTTGGAGCAAGTGGCAAAGGTTTTAATTTTTCCAACAACACCTTTAAATGGTATCTGTGAAAAATGTTCTAATTTAGGTGAATTAAAATAATATTTTCAACAAATGAGAATTCATTTATCTATGATCATGTCAAATTGTACCAGGTTGGACACCAAATACTAATGAGATAGCAAAAGTGATTTCATATACATCACAGTTGATTATTTGGTTGTTGTTATACTCTTGGAAAGTTCAACTATGTCAGTATTAATAGTATGAGGATAGAATCTTTGACTTCCATAGATATTTTACCATAATTTATAAAATCAAATATACAAATTCATTTTGTGTTGTAATAAGAGCAAATTCAATTATCATTGCTATGCAGAATTTGTTTATGATTGATATCAGATTTGAAATTTAATAAGACACCAACCGAATGCCGTAAATTAATCGGGCTATTTTAATGCTAAATTCTAAATAAATTACGTAATTAATTTGGCACTAGAGGTAAGCGTTAGGCGCCATCTCTTATTAAAATTAATAATTATAAATATATTAATTAATTTAAATAATTTGGAACCGCTGGGAGNCATGTTTTACATAAATCGCAATAAAATCTTCTAATTTTGATTTATTAATAATATAAATTTATCATATATAAATAAATTGTATAAAGTTTGGTATATTTTTGCGAATTGGACGATAACTTCAATACTATTGCGCATATCTGTAGTTACCAGTTTTTCGTGGTCGATAAGGTGTGAACAGTTCGTCCGCCATATTTTCGAGTTAAGGAAGTAAAGTCAGCGTTTGCGAGTTAGAGATGTTCGGACGATACATATAAGTTATTATATTCGTTATGAACCTTATTTTTTATAAGTTTAATTACTTTAAATCTTCGATGTTATGACGTCTTTTGAACCATCCAGGGGGCGCTTCGGTCGACCGGTCGCGACGTCTTGTCCTCGTTTCCAGTAAAGAAGTCTGAAAAGGATTTTACATTTATTAGAACAATTATGTCTCGAAATCATCGTTGGTGGAATTATATGAAAACTTATGTGTTATATTGTTGACACGTGTAACATATAAACTATAACATGTATGTATATTTATGGATGAGAGCCAATTAAGTTAACCCTAAAGGGAAGTCCGACGCTCTGGCTTAAAAGGTAAGCATCAATCTCTGAAAGCAAAATTTTTGCATTTATACATGTTTATACATTGATTTATTTGATTTTAATCAGTTCATTATAATCTATATAACTTTTAATAAACATCGATGGTTCGTATTATTTTTGTCGTTAGGCAAAAATTAATGGTTAATAAATTCCATCAATGGTGAATCTTGTTTGATGGATGGAATTACTTATTCCGTTTCGCTTTTGTGATTTCCGATTATAAATGGAGCTATATCAATAAAATTTGTAAGTCATACCGATTGAAAAGTGTTTTAAATTTCTTTTGTTAAAGTTAAAAAAAATTCTTCCATTCATCTATGTAAGTAATGGTTTCCATTATGTTATTAATTATATTTAGAAACAATTGTTTTTATTTTTATTTTAATATAAATTTAAATGCCAAATTAATGATATAATTTTTTCTTTAATGTCTTTTATTAAATGAATTTAAAAAAATTATATATATATATTGATAAAGATGTATTCAACCTGATGCTACATGTTTAAATTCTTTTACACTGCTCAGACACAAACTATTAAGTTTAAATTTAAAGAGTTTTGATTGTGGTATGTTGTCAGAGTAACTAGGTCAGGATTGACATTGTCAGATCATTTTAGGCACTGATTCTATGCCCAGTTGACCTTGTTATATCACTGATTTGTGTATTTTTTGCATATAAAGTCAATAACTGAAGTTGATATATTACAAAAATTATAAAATGATTTCAAGTATTTAAGAAAATGAACACATTTTTAAGATGAAAAGCCCTTTTTATAATATTTTATGACGAGAAAATTAATGCAAATTCAATTTTCAAATTGAAAAGAATGAAAAACAATGCATGAATATTTGATCTTGTTAAATAAATTATGCTAAGTTTACATTATGAAACACTATAAAAAAAAATAATTACATTGATATATTCAAACAGTTTTGAAAACTTCATATGTTCTTTATATGATTTTTTTAAGTTAAATGAACACTAAATTAATTTATAGACCTCTATTTTTGAAAAATTAATTAATTTAAATGAAAGTACACAATATACCTAAAGAATATATTGTAAACAGTATTTATAAAATAATCCATATTAATATATTATTTGTTTTGATAGTTATTTCAGATAACATAAAATAATTTTTCAGTATATATAAAGAACATAATAGACTGTTATGACATTTCTTAAAAATTAAAATTATATTCTTGTTGTAGAAAAGTTATTTAGAATGCAAAAATGAATAAATAAATAAAATATTTAGTGTATGATCTTTGTAATTATGAAAAGTATTTGAAACTTTACTAAAAGATTCATTAAAAGTTATTTTAAATTTTATTTTAATTGCTTATTAATCTGAAATTTTTACATACTTTTTCCCTTTATTGACTATAATGTACTGTAGTATTCATTATGTTACATTAAATTGTATAGATTAAATTAAAAAATGTTAAGTTCATTTAAGAGTATTGTTTGTGCTCTACTGAATTTCAAAATTATAAGTAACTTTGTAATGCCAGAAAAAACAGTTTCAGCTGCATTCAAATATTATCTATTGTATGAAATTGGAAATGTTTAAAAAAATTTCAGTAACCTGTACAGAATTTATGTAATATGTTGTTTACAGATAGTATTTCAATTTAAAAGTTGCATTAAATAATGTTTGAACCAGTTTTTAATATGCTTCTTTTTAGGAATATATGCTTTAATAACAAGGAAATATTTTGCTAAAAATATAATTTGTTTAATATAATGTGAATCTTCAGCTGCTTTTTGATTGTAGAATATTAAATAAGTGTTAGATTTTATTGAGATAATTTAAATAACATTTTTTCAAATAAAATTTATTTTCAAATTTTAATGATTACTGTTATAGGCCTAAGGTTAGTTTGCAGAATAATCATAAAGTGGATATTGATTAACAATTCATTTCATGAGTGATGTGATATAAGAAGTGCTAGGAATATTTATTCTGGTAATAATCATTTTTTGATTTTACTTATCTCATTATTTCTTGTTATCTGCTTATATCTAAAATATGTTTGATTACCAGTTTAATGAATTGTCTTTGCAAAATAAAACATTTTCTTTAATATTTAAATTAGAAAATAAATACATAGTCTATTTGTTAATAACTTTCACTTAGGAATAACAGTTATAAAACAACATTATATATTTATATTTTGCAAGTACAGGTATTTTCAAAACATTAATTTTATTATAATCTTTTAACATATATATAAACTCATGATAGTATGTGAGTAGTAATATGAATAATGTTTAATTAATTCAACATCTTTATTTCAAAAGTTAATGTAAGTATTTGATAACCTTATTTGGAAGGATGATGAATTAAAAATAAAAATCATTGTTATCTAATTTGCCAATGACAGTGTAAAATAAGCATGTGTAACTGCTGGAAATTATGCTACATTACAACTTATATTTTAATTTTAAACATAAATTATTCTGACAAAAAAATAAACAATTTGAAATATGATAATGTAATTACTCTGTAAATACTCTAAAAAATTTATGAAAATTAATAGGTCCTAATACATATTAAGAAATATTCAATTTCACACAAAATGTATTTAACAGTATAAAATACAAAAATATACAGTATAGCAGTATAAACAGCATAAAATACATTCATATACAGTTCAATAAAAAATTTCCTGGAATGAGAAATTTTTGTGAAATATTATATGTGAATTCATTATATATTATATTTGCCTGAAAATTCTTCATCGTTTCATAATAAAATATCATTGCATTTGGATAAAAATAATTAAATGTAAAAGAAATTCAAACTTGAAGTTTTTGAATGTTTTAAATTATAATTCAAAAAGTTAAAACATTTTGGATTTATTTTATATTATAACTTGATTTCATACTTATATAAGATGATGATCTGAAATTGTTTAAATTATTAGTTGAAATTGATTTCAATTAATATTAAAATTTATTTTTTATTTTATCACCATTATTTTAACTTCCTGCTCTAATGATATGGTATAATTTACTATATAAGCCTAATCAATCTGAAATTTTGTGATCAAACTAACAGCTAAATGTTTTGAAGCACTTTGAAAAAAATTAGTGATACCATAGTACCTTGGTATACGTCTGCTTTAGAATATGTCCAATTTGGAATATATCCTGTTTGGACAAAACAAATTTTGCTCGGTATACGAATTCAATGAACAAGTAGCACTATCGGTGTACTAAACCGGACTAGATGTTCGCGGTGCCACGGTTTATAACTTTGTTAAATTTCTTCTGATTTTAATTTGTAAGTAAAATTTTATTATTTTTATTAATCATGAATTGAAAAAGGCAAATGAAAAGCAACAGAAAACTAAAAAATTGACTAGAATCACAATGGAATGGAAGAAAGAGATTATGGAGAAATATGAAGGTGGCATGCATGGTCAAGATTTAACTGTTGCATACTGTATTCCGAGAACAACAATATTGACAATTGTGAAAAATAAAGACATTATTAAATCTGCTAACGTTGCGAAAGGGATTAAATCAATTTCTAAACAGAGATTGAAGACATTAGATCATGTTGAGAAATTGCTTTTGCTTTGGATAACTGAAAAACAGTGCGCTGGCGACAGCGTATCGGAAGATAAACCAAACCATTT